ATATTCTAATTTATTGAGATGCAACTGTATAGAAGTGGTGGGGTGGAAACCCAGGAGACTGCTGTTCGTTTCCTGTGTGGAACCAAAAGATGTAATTTCTTTTTAAGCCCACATGAAACGGAAATCAGAGAGCTATTTCCCTCTGCACATTTACGTATTTTCTGTAAAAACACCTGTAAAACCTATTAGCTAACAGGACCTGCCAGTGAACAGTGCAGCCAGTCCAGGACTGAATGCAGCATCTAATGCTGACAGAGGACTGTCTGACAAAAGGGAATAAAGCACAGAGGTGTTTTTTGCCAGGTTTGGCTCCTGCCCCCCTGGGGTTAAGTCAGCTAGCGTTGGATGAGCTAACTAGCTAACAGCATCTAACTTTATTGTTGTTGACAGTTAGCTTCTTTTAGCAACAAGTCAATCTAGAAAACTCCACAAATCACCTTGGTTTGGTTGCACGCTAATGGCAGCTACATTAGCAGTTAGCAGAGTTGAGTCAGAGCAGCACGGATGAAATCATAGGGAAAACCAGACTATATTATCTCCATAGAATATGACCCAGTACCCAAATCACTTGTTAACCATTCCTGTTCGGCTCCCAGACCGTGGTCGGAAGGCACAGGGAAGATTTAGTTTTCTGCTGAAGTTGATGCTAACTTTGGGGCTAACCCCCTTCACTTTCTCTTCACCAGTTGGCAAACAACACATGGATTTTGATATGACAATACAAATAAATTAGTGTGTAAATGTTTTTTGCATACATTGTTAAATAGGGGTACAACAACAACATTAAAACAACATTTTTCATTTCACCTGGACTTTAAGTAACTTTGACTTACTTTACATACTCAACTTACATCAGGTACGTTACATAATTTCAGTATTCGATGAGTTGGCAGCGGGGACTTTGGATGTGTTATCGCAGTAATGGCCATGTGACTTGCGTTGCCATATTTGAACCCAAATCATAATCCTTTTTAACTCTAACCAATTAGTTTTGGTGCCTAAACCTAACCAAACTGCACCTTTCACAACAGGAACCACGTGTAAAAAAAAAAGGTATCAGCATCAGGTATTTGATGACCTGGAATGAGTGTGTGAAAGCTGCACTGGCTGTGAGTTAGGTCCCAATTCTAACCATTAACCTCATTCTAAAACAGGTTTCAGTTGTAATCTTTTGTACTATTGTCCACTGTTGATTTAAGTAACTCAATACAGACACAAACAAGCTTAAACCAAGCATGTGATGAATGTCTTGCTTGCTGCATCTGGTTTCCTGCACCCGGGGTCTGTAAAAATGTACTGTACATGTACAAATAAGATACACTATAGGTCAGTACACAAATGTCTGAGAATATGTGTCTTATTTTAATGGAATTGCTGGCAAAAATTAAATTTTTCGAACCCCCCTAAATTTGCATTCCGGCTTCACTACGGCTGCCGGGGATAATCACGTCGGTTTTAGACAATGCTTGTAATTCCACCAGAAGTGTCCCAGACATATCTCTCCGCTCTGCTCTGCAGAGAATATGCGGCTGTTCTATTTTTGACGGAAGCCACATCAAGCAGCACAGAGCAGATAGCACCTGAAGGAAGTCAGACAGACACGGCATATAGGATCCGGTCCATCTTCAAAATAAAATATTCTGTGCAGACTCCAGATTGAACTTCACACTCCATCAACTTTGTGGATCAAGGAGGACATTCACATTCGATGCTAGGACAGCCATCTTTGAACAGAGACAGGGGTTGCTGTCAAGCTTGTGTTAAAATTATTTTGTCAAATGAGAATATCTTGAACATGAAGACTGGTTTTATTTTATGGCAGCCATAATGTTTCAAAATGAACCTGCTAATGAGTGTGACGTTTTGTGAGCATTTTAATGAGTTTTATGAATATGAACAGGTTTTATGTGTCTGTTGGTCTCATGTACTTCTAGGCTGGATTACTGCAACTCCTTATTATCAGGTTGCCCCAATAAGTCCATTAAGACGCTCAAATTAATTCAGAAC